TTCTCCTCGGAGCTGCTCTCTATTACCAAAACAACAAAGCTCCCTTATCCTTTTTTCTCAAGTCCTGAATTGCACTGACCCAATGTTGCAGAATTCTGAATCCTTTTACACAAGACAAGGCTGACCTTAAGCCTTGGAAAAGGAAAGGCAAAGAATAATCTTCCTTATGTTGAGGTTATTTCATAATTATCGATGAGTTGCGTGCATTTTTTTCCTTAGGCATTTAATAGAGGCCGTTATCAGGTAGAGAGGATGTCTAATTAGTTGGTTACATGGCCTCACTGTCTGAACAGTGGTATGTTTTTATGTCAAGGTAGCTTTCTGCAGTGGAGTTGTAAACAGGTGGCAAATTGTTTGTTAGTTTAACCACCACCAAAAAAAACCCACAATGTGCAGCACTACATTCAGGCCTTCTGGATGAAACTTCTGAGATAGGGGTCTTCTGGTCTGTGCTTGCAGAATTCAGATCAAGCGTGTTATACCATGGGAAAAAAGTTCGCAACTTCTTTACAGCCTGTTTCTGAGCATTCTCAGGCTTCTAATGAGACAGTTATTTCGATAAATATTTTCATACTGAAAAAAAAAAAGAATTACCTATCTTGTTACCATTTCTGAACAGTTTTCAGATGCTTTATTCAGGATATGCAGGATGTATAATCTGTTTCTTTACACTAAATACCGCACCTTTTGTTAATTTTAACTTTTCTTGCATATATCTACTTTTTTTGTTAATCTACTTAATCATGCAATATATAAATTTTTATGCAGAGTACACACATACACATGCACAACGTACATCTGGTAACTGAAAGCAAAGTATTTTTACTTTCAATAACTGTGTTTCTTTTCATAATTGTTTTCTAGAAAGGTAAAAAGCCGTTTCTTCTGGCATCTGAAAAAGGCCATGTTGACATGATAAACAATTTGATTTCTCTGAAGCTGTTTACATCTGAAAAAGATAAGGTAAAGTTTCTTTTCCGCAGGAATACAAATAAAAATGTACTAGCTGTGTTTCAGTTGGTTACTGCCTAACTGAGCGATATATGAGTAAGCTGTGCAGATGTCACGGGGCTGGCAGGGATATATATTGGACCAACAAAAATAAAGGATGATGATTTTTCAGTAATTAAGGGAGGAAAGTGGAACTTCTGGTCTTACAGCCAGGAGACTTTCCCATACGCATTAGTAATTCCTGTAAAGCAAGACTAGCGTGTGCTGTCTGTTGGGAGAAGTGGGAAGGTCTGGTGATTGGCGTGCCAGCCTCTGCACTGGGAGATCATGTGTCCCAGTTTTTAGCTCTGCTTGGCTGTGTCTGTGTGTCACTGCAAAGTCCCACATGACTAATTTTTCAAAGTTGTTTAAGTACTTCAGGATGCAATTAAACAAATGTGGGGATTTTTTTTTTTTTTTCCAGAAGTGTCTAAACACTTCAGTCTGGTTGAGTTTGCTTTTGACACTGCATTTTAAGGTGTCTAAATAAGTTTCAAAATCTGCCCTTAAATTTCCTTACTCTTCACTGTTCATGGAATGAGCATGTCAGCATTCCTCTGCATCCGAGGCACTGCAGATACAATAAAATTGTAAAGTGGTCAGATACTGCAGTTATTGAACCTTGTAAGGAAGTTATATTTATGCTTGGTTTGTATTCTGGTGATACTTTAATGTCTGCAGTGCAACCAGCAGCGCTGGTGCGCTAATTAGTTTATCAGCAGCAGTTAAAGACAGTGTTGTCCCAGACATCCCACAGGCTGAATGTGTACAGCTGCAACGATGAGAGGTGAATGCTGGGATCCTGAAGGGTAAGAAGCCAGGACAGGAGCTCACCTCACGGCTCACCGAAAACAATTGCGCTGTTAACCATCATTTAACACACCTCTTCCTAAAACCTATTTGGATTTCCTGCCCCTCCACCTCTGTAGTGCTCTGGTTGAAAAGCTGTTCTGATCCCTCCTTTCCCTGAGGATTAGGATCATTCTCCTAATTTTCCGCTTCAGGTTTTCCTAGCCAATTTTACACTTGTTCTTGTCCCAGCGTTGTCTTTTAGCTCCAAGTCTGCTGCTCTTCCTGATAATCATCTAGCTTGCTGTTTGTTTTTACTTCCTTGCTGGTGGCTTTTTTTATTTTCTCCTTACTTAGCTAGTGAGGAATTGTCCTGCTGATGAAGGGGATTGGAGATTGTGATGTTAGTATCAAAGGCGTTACAAGAGCATATATACTTAACGAGGTTTTCGACGTTTATCTTTACATCAGTGCTCCTGGGCACTTGATGTCCCCATCCTTGTAGGAACCAGTGCCCAAAGTTTTCTTCTGATTCATTCTTTAGGTGTTAGAATTTTAGGTGTTTTTCACTGCTAACACACAGCAGTCTTCAGGATGTGAGACAACCAACTTGATGGAGGGCATGTCTGCATACGTATGGAAGGGTTCCTTTCGGGTTAGTCTGAATCTTGGAACATGCTGTGTGGGTCTGCCTCCTTCTGCTTGTGTGTAGAAGAGAGGTGGAAAGACCAAAGGCTTTGTGTTTAAGTGTTTTTACTTGATGTTTGGACTTCATTCTGAGTTTTAAAATATATTACTTGGCATTTTCGTCTCAAGGAGGGAAACACAGCATTGCATCTAGCAGCCAGAAATGGTCACAGCGAAGTTGTGGAAATCCTGCTCCAACAGTGGGAGGAAATAAATGACTTCAATCAGGTAAGGACACAGAAATAAATTTTGAGTTTTGAAAAATCAAGCACTGGAGTAACTTTCAGTAAACCTCTGTGTACTTCAGGAGTTGAGAAGCAGGGATTAGAGCACTGTGCAGCCGACCTAATTTGTTTTACAGGCTTGCTGTGGAGACATGAAGGCTTTTTTAGTGTGAGAAGATTTTAAATAAATATTCAGCA